CCGACGGATTCCGAACGGGAGCGCGCCGGTTGTCTTTATTGAGTTCATCTGCGACTCGTTGGCAGAAAGACACACGGATGCGGACTTGTCGGAGCGCGCCGCGTCCTTCCAGGTTCCGCTTGTGTTCTGAGCGCCGTTGCGGACTTATGTTGTCACCGTGCGGGTCGCAACGCCGAGCGGTGGCGCCCGCTCACTCAAAGATGCGCTTCTACCCGCAAAGGCTTCCTTCAATTCTTCTCTTGTGTCTCGTCTCTCGTTTTTTTTTTTTTTATGCCCCCTTAGCCCATTTGTTTTACTCCTTGCGAAGAGCTTTAGGTGGTTCCACTTCTTTTCCCTTCCGTTGCCTTTTTTTTTTTTTTTTTTCCTCCTGTATGATTTTGTTCTTCCAAGGAAAGAGAGAAAGAATTCCTGCCCTGCGCATCTGCTTGTAGTCATCGGCGCCATAATCTCCACATAAATGCAGCGCCAAAGCCCCTTTTATTGCTCATGAAGTCAAACTAACTCTTGTCAAATGTTTCCAGTCCCTGTGAAGCTTTCGCGTCGGAGCATCACGTCCAAAACATTTGCTTTCAAAGTCTCTGGACGGGCGTCAGACCTCACATGTCTTCCGTCAATGCGATCACACAAAAATATGCCCACTAATAGTCTCTGTTGTGTTTTGAGAAGGGCTGCGGAAAGCGCAGCAGCGCTCTCGGCGCAACTTGATGTTTCTTCATCAAAGCGCGCAAATAGCAGATGTCTTCTTTTTCACGTCAGCCGTTGAGCGAGCGGGATTTAGAGCCGTTTCCATAAAACAGCAAGACGGGACGCCGAGGAATTTCGCCGCCGCCTAATTAGGAGGCGGCCGGCCGGATCGGGACCCCCGAGCCTGGACTCGGACACCCAATGATGAGAACGCTCAAAGCGCCATCGTGGACGGAGCAGCGATACGAAGACAATTTCAAAACGGGGAGATTTTTAGTTTTTTTCCCCTTAAGACTCGTCTTGGTTCGCAAGGCTGAAGCTCGCCAACTGTTTTGGAATGCATTGGCGTGATCGATTGATTATTTTAGTCCGTTTATTGAGATAAACATTGACTTGGGCTGAAATGGAATCGCAAACCGGTGCTTTCCGGTGACGATGACTGTTGATGAGCCGAATACGCGGGGCAACGGCAAATTGGGTTCAGAGATGGCCTCAGGATACTTTTTTTTTTTTCCCCTTTACACTGATTTCAAAAATGCGCCGAGAAAAAAAGAAAACGAGGGCGTACTTGGAATCGGCGCAAAAAATATTGATCTACAGTAGCGGACTAGCTTCTGGGATTCCAATCAAATGTTTATATATTGATCGCTCAAAAACTGCGCTGGTTTGGGGGGGGGGGAGGGGGGGTGGGGGTTCCGTTGGCAGGTGTCCGCTTTCATGGAGGACAACCGAAATCAGAGACGATAGATTGAGCAGAAGCTGAAATTCGGAGCACGTGGACAAGTTTGAATGAAAGTGCGGTTCAAAAAGATTCGTCAATCATCAACATCATTCATTTGTTCATACGGAAGCAGTCGTCCATGAGTGGTTCTACTGCGGGCGAAACGGGACATTGTCTGCTAGACAGGAGCTGTTTTCAGAAAAAAAAACAACAAGTGGCATCAAATCAAAAACACACCGGGGCCTTTTTCTGGGAAACTTTTATTCGTGCCCGACGAGCCCGAAGTGCGTTTTGAAAAGAGCCCCTTCACTCCGAATCAGATGGAGACGAGCGCCAAAGTGCGCGCGGCAAACCAACAGGATGGAAGGCTTGCGGCCCAGACGAGGATGTCTCGCCCCCACCGCGTGGCGGGAACCGCAAGAACAAGCGCAAGCGCACGAGGTTTTGGCACTCATCTCGACAGTGGTTTTCTTGCGAGAGAGCGAGAGAGAAGGGGGTGGCTGAACAGCTGGATTTCCTCTGCCACCTTTTGGATCATCTGTACATGTCAGACGTGTTTGAATGAAGCATCCCTTTGAATTTGGCTCCAGTGTTTTCGGTGGCACCCGAGACCACTTTGGCGCCGTTAGCGGACAGCGGGCCACTTTTATTCCCACAGCGCAGCTTGAACGCGGCACCCTCGCAGCGCCGTTCCAAACACGACAGCTCACGATCATTGGCGAGCGTGTCCAATTTTCTCAATGAGCAACCCATTGGGAGAAGATTTCCAAACCGCGCGGCACAACGGCTAAATGCTGCCGCGCCGTGTTTGCTTCGAACTTCTTCATTCGGCATTTCCCGAACGCAGTCGGCACTCCAAGCGTCCGGCTGCGGAACTTTCAAGTCTATCGGACGGCCGATTAGGGAGCCGGCGGAAAGCCTTTTGGCACTGGCATCATGCGTTCTGATCGTTTGCTTCCGGTCCGTTTGAGGGAGTCCGGTCAGTGAAAGAGTGAAGCTCGCTACTTCCGTCTCACCGGTGGCTATTTTATCTGTTTGGGTTGCTTTGGAGACTTGTGTCACATGACTCGGTTTCACCAAGCCAACCCATGTGAGGACGTCAAGATCTCCCCCCCCACCCCTTCGCCCCCCTCCACTCATTCACACCTTGCCGACGAGTCAGCTCATCCTTGGGAGCCATTTTCGTGTTCCTCAAATGTTCACCGTGGCATTCCCAAACAAAGAGAGGTCGCATTTTCACCCCCTTCCACACTTCTTGAGTGATCGGATCCGCGCCATTCCAGCTGAGAGTCCGACAGGCCACATTTCAACTGTCGAATTGACGACGCAGCTTTGGTGCTTCAACTTTGCGGCGTTCGCACGCAATTTGGACACAAATGGTATTGTCCCGTTTTTGTTACGGCGCGGACTGGACGCCACATGTGCGAGGCCGCGCCCTCCCTGTAAATCTTCGGGTTTGTGAGCCATGGCGGCGCGTCGGCCTCAAATCTTTCTTCACTTTCTCACTTAGAGGTCTGCGGCAGAAGAAGAACCGAGGCATAGATGGCACTCGACAACGCCCGGGCCGGGGCAACTTCGGGACCTTATCGTGTGGCCCACCATGATGGAAGTTGACTTTTCACTCCCTGGAAGTGTCCTTTTGTCCAAAGGCCGCGTTGACTTTTGTTTGTGCCCGTCCAAAATACTCCCCCCCCCCCGCCCCCCAAAAAAAAAAATGTCCTCACTTTGTGTCCCGTACCCGTCCCAATACTTTTGACCGAGGGGATGGAGGACACGAGCTCATAAAACGTTGCACATGTGCTCTTATTTACAGTTAGCGCTGAGTCTGCGGTTGCCGTGGTAACATTGCCCATCTCCATTTTCTTTCTTTTCTTTTTCGCAACACGCTCAGCAGACAAAAGCCATGAAATCTTTTTTGACGACGGTCCCTCGGGGAGCGTTCTCGACTGTGCTCCAAACAAGTGAGGTGAAGCAGCATTGCGTTGAGGACACCGCCGCTTTGGAGCGACCGTTGTTGAATCTCGGCCCGACATATTTTCTCTTCCTTCCATTTGTCGGGGGTGTCGCGATCCAGTACAGTGGCGACGTCCCCTTTTTGCTTCCTGAAGGCGTCACCATACTTTTTGCTCGACCGTCCCATGTTCCTATTTTGTTTTCGTGTGGTCATGCAAGTGCTTTTGTTGAAGTCCGTATTTTCTTTGCATTAACCGCGTCCCAATACTTTTGTGCAAGGTCCATTTTGTTTTTCACTTTTGACTCGCTCGGGATGTCACGATACTTTTGTCCAAAGACGACACTTGCACTTTGCAGTGGTTGGATGTGTCCCATTACTTTTGTCTAAAGGTTACATCTCAGTTCTCCCCCCCCCCCGACTCCTCCGTCTTCTTCTGATTTCTTCCAAACGTGGCGATTTGCTGCATGTAGCGGCCTGATACGTCTGTCCGTCCGCACGTTGCGAGGTGCTTCCAAGCGTCGTCTTTGTCGAGCCTTTTGCTGAAATTTTTGATGGCGTTCCAGAAGTGCCTTTGCGCCGGCCAAGTAAACCAACACCTTTGGAAAAACTTGATCAAAGCTATTTTGAAACACTTTTTTTTTTCTTTTTTACTTTTGTTGTCATGCCGTGAGATGCGCAAAAGAAATTTGACTTTGCGTGTAACGCAACCGCATAATGAGGGACAGGACGGCTGGACGGACTCCGGCAGACAAGTTGAAGGATAAACCAGAACACATGGGCGCCCCAGACGATTGTGTTCTGGGCAAAAGGTCGACCCCAACAAGGGCCCGATCCGATTAGAGAGACAAAATAATAAGAACACACACACACACACACACACACACAAATATCGATCCATTTTTTTACACTAATTGTGTCTTTTCCTTGAAACCAATCAAAGACACTTTTTTGGAGTCTTACTTATTAGGTAGGGCCTGACAGAATGAATTAGCCGATATTTCCCCGACCTTGCCCTAAAAAGAATCGTTCTATTTTTTCCCCTCACAGTCCAAATTAAGAATACGATGAAAATGACATTTGAACATGAAAAGAAAGTGGCACAAAAAAAGAAAAGGGCCGACGTTTGCCGATTTCTCTCTCTGCTTTAAGTGAAATACTGCCTGTAATTCTTATCTTTGTCCTTGAAGGCGTTAAGAAGTTATTTATTTATTTGGTTTTTTGTTTTTTTTTTCATTTGAATGCAGTAATTGACTATTTCTTCCCTGTTCTCACACTCTCATTGACAAGCAATAGGAAGTGAACATGTCGCTTTCAGGAAACAAAAAAAAAGACCACTCGCACTTCTCCATATTTGAGGCACAGTGTGTTGGCTGCAAGCGCCTTCCAGTCCAACTTTGCAGTCAAGCGAACACAAATATTCAAACACCAAAATACACCAGCAAACCACATCAGCGAATGGAACAAAAGTCTTCTCGCTTCATGCTAGCAAAAAAAAAAAAACCCCACCATAGATGGGCTGGCAGAATTAGCATGGGCGTGGCAGGAATTACGAGTCTTCAAACAAGTGCCACTTCAACGCCGAACGCACGGATTTCATTGGCTGGATGTTGAATAAAGGCTTGTCTATTTTCTCGTCTCCAGACAGCAGAAGGCCGAGGACGCGAGGGAGAGGCCGCAAGCGGAAGCCCAAACCGCTTTGGATGCTCGCCAACAGCAAGGCTAGCGACGCTCGCAACGTCTTCTGACCCCGACCGCCCGTCCGCCACCATTACACGCAGGCAAATACAAGGACGCCCTTGATCAACTGAGCACGCACGCAGAACAGAAATACGAGGAGATCCGAAATGTGGCGGCACGGCAGGGGCGGCGCTACGCGGCGGCCAATGGGACCGCCGCTCTGGCCGCCCCCACATCCAGGGGTAGAAGTTCACCAAGGCCATCGGGCGGCGTCACTGCCGCGCATTCGACCGAAGCTCCCGGATGCCGGGCCTCCGCTCGCTCCAATCCAGCACCCGTCCAAACGCGTGTCCGTACGATTGCAAAATTCCTTGACCGTTTCATCGGCCATTCCCGAATCGACTCGCGGGCGTCAGCCTGGTCAACCCGCGGAAAGATTTCCGCCTCCGCCGCCCTTGTACATTATGAAAGTACTCGTGAAGAAAAGCTTTAAAATGTCAACTTGTGCAACGGGACGGGTCAGAGGTCGCATTCGGAGGGGCGCCCACCTGCTTCGCTTGTGCAATGGTAAAAATCTTGTGGGGCGGCGTTGCACGAGTTCTCGCCGGATGCGCGTCCCGCGCAACCTTGATCTCGGCCAGAGGGTTCGTTGGCTTACTCCCGAATAAGCGTTGATGGACTTTAGCGCAAAGTCTCGTATGCAAATGCCTAGCGAGCATGCCTGAGGACGTTTGTTGTATTTGTTTGCGTATGTTGGATGTATCTGTAAGACTGGAGGGTGCTCTGTTATTTAATATTATTATAAAATGCCTTTTGTACCGAATAAACACCATTCCCTCAATAAATGGCTGCGGCTTTCTGCGCTTGGGTAAAGTCGGGGTCCCAAACGTGGAACGGTCGTGCACCGCAATGCAGTAATTGATCCCGAGTTGAGCTTATCACTGCTACAAGGTCGACCCCCGCCCCGTCCGCTAATGCAGCCCAGCAAACATGGCATCTTTGACATCTAGAACCGTCAATGGCAGTGAGCGAGTGAACCTCCGAAGAGCCGCGCTGTTGCTACTTCCGATTCAAGCGGGAGCGGACAGGAAGTGGATCTCAAACGGGACCGCGCCGGAAAGTCGAGCCGGGAACGACTTTTGTGTCCACTCAGCGGAGCGCGTCACGCCTAAAGAAACGCCCTGGTTGACCGACAAGGAGGCGGGGCGAAATTCAACAAAACGTGTCCTACCTGATGCGTCTTGGGGATGGAGGTGGCTTTCTCCGAGCGGCAGGACAGATCATCCGAGACACGTCTTTTCTTGACCACGCGGCATGTCGTCGGTCCTCTCGCACGCCCGCAAGTGAAACGTCTGATCCTCTTTGTTTTTGTGGGGCCGCATGCGATCACGTGAGATTTCTGCCTCGGAGGACCGGATTCTAGGCCGCAAGTGGAACAGAGTCTTTACGTGAGCGGTGGTCTGTGTGGAGATTGTTGGAGCACCTCACATCACACACGATACAACGCAACGGTTACATGGCGGACTTTTTTTTTTCCCTTTGTGTGGGCTCTGTCGCAGCTTTTAGAAAGAAAGAAAAAAAAAAACGATTTTTTTTCTCTCCTAGGGGTCTTGACTGACAGCCCTCATAGAATCATCCATCCCTCCGTCCATTTTCTGAACTGCTTTATCTTCACAAGGGTCGCCGTTGTGCAGATTACTCGGGGGGGGGGTTCGATTATTACTTCTTAAATGATCGAGAGAAGCCAAAATCGAAATCACAATTACATTTTGGTTCATCGTCCAGCCCGACGACAAACGTGTCATTCAAAGCTGATCTGAATGTGCATTTGCTTTCACATGCCCACATTCAAACAGCAAGTTTGTTGACAAAAAGTCTCCTCTTTGGAGGCTTTGCCGCCAAATCCAAGAAATTGGCAACATCGGTTACAAATATCCAGCTGAAAAAAATGGACAACAGCTTAATTGTAAATAATAAAAAACATCATGGAATCCATAAATCTGTCATTTATCTTCTTTCTCTTTCAAAACCATTGATACATCTCGTGACCTTTTAAATGTTTCACACACGCTATAAAAAGCCTGTCGGTGACGCCAGCCTATTGTTGCTTCCAGGCTGGGATCACTCGCAGTCACACAATGTTTGAAGATCTCCACTGCCAGCCCCAAAATAAATGTCAGGGAAAATAGATCACTGTCGATGGCTCATTTAGTATTCAAACTTTTCAGCGAGTTGACGCATTGTGGAAGTACAGTGTATGGACCAGAGGGATTAAAACATTTTTTTAACGCACCCCAACAAATTCTTCAGAAAAATGCCATGCATGTTGCCAACAGTAACGGGTGGGAAAAAAAAATGTGGAAACATCTGAAATTAGCCAAAAGTTAATGATCTGGCCGGATCGACCCCCCCGCCCTCTAGTTCTGGCAGTGGCCTTCTTAAGAGGGCCATTCAAATGAACTATTTGCTTCAAACACTAAAGCACATTTGTTCCCAAAAAAACAAAACCAAATGAGCAGTCGGAATGAACAACTCACTATTTTGCTGCTGAAATAGTTCCTCTGTTGGGGAAAAGCTCTCCCCGACCGCTCGAGTTCGTCAAAAGACTCGTTTCCCGTTCCAGCGCCATGTGTTGCCACCTTTGGCGTGGCCTTGTGGTCTTTTGACAGCCAAAGACTTGACAAACGTGTCAGGCTTGAATGGATTCGCTCATTGTTTAGTTGCGGACGAGCAGTCACGTTTGATATCTCCACCGCCATCGCTTGAAAAAAAGGCCATAAAAAACAAACAAAAACCCGAAATAAAATAGTGAGGCTTTCTTCCAGACGCCTGAAGGCCAGCGGCCATTTTACTTCTGACCCTTGACCTCTGCAAGGGGTGCAAAGGGCAGTAGCCATACACGGCCAGTGGGGGGCAGACTAGTCAAGTCCAGCCAAACTTTTGATGCCAAGTACCACCAGAAAAAAAAAAAACATTCTTACGTGCAAAAATATATTTATTTTTTTGTAATCAGGAGGGAATATTATATGTGGCTACAAGCAAAATTAGTGGAATTTCGAATAGATGTTTCCCGTTAAAACATGAAATCACGTCGTGAAACTCATCACATTAAAATATGACATTGAACTTCTTTTTCCTTTTTTTATTTTATTTTTTATTTTTTTATATTTACAGCCAAGCTCTCACATGGCGTGTGAGGTCTGCTCCATTTTTTTTGTGGGCGTCATTTGGGAAGAAGGAGAAGAAGAAAGGAAAATAAATGTCAGCTCCTCTTTTTTATTGCGCAATAAAAGATGACAAAGAGCATGTCTTGAGTTCACGCAGGAGTTTGCTTTGGTCCACCAGCAGACAAAACGTGTCCACTTTCAAACCAATTAAAGATCAAATCCAAAAGGACAGCCGCAAGCAAGTTGTTGTTTTTTTTTTTTTTGTTTTTTTTTTGGCTGCTGCTGTTGTTTCTTGTTTTAAATTCGGGACAGCAGCCAATCGGGGAACCCCGAGCTTTTGGACAATGTCTTCAAATGCCAGGCCTACCTAATCAAGTGGCCAGTGAATGTTGAGGAACACAAACAGGTTTCAAGAACGACAAAGATGAGGGATACACACTGGAAATCGCAAAAAATGACATGATGGGAAGGGAGGTGAGAGACAGGGAACCTCTGAATTCTTTTTAAAGGGGTTTGGGCAGTCTTTTTACGAGAAACGGTTTTCAAAAGATTGTGATTACATCATCACAAAGCAAGAATGAACAACTTTTTTTTCAACCTGAAAAAAAAACATCTTTAATATTAGAAATAAATGTAGAATTTTACCAGATCAACTGTGTATTTTTTTCCAATGGAAAACTCAGTAAAATTATGAACATTTGTTTGACATTTTTGTCGGCAATAAATATTAATTTAAAAAATGTGACTTTACCAGTGTATTTAATCATGAAGGCGAACAATTTGAACGTTTTTTTTGGGGGGGGGGGTAAAATAAAACTTATCATTCTAATAAACATGCATCGTGAAAGAATTTGCATTTTTGGGAGCAGAGTTGCAACAATGCAGTTATGAGTCTAAAGATGTATTCTTATGAGGGAAAGTGAAGAAATGACAACAAGGGATTTTTGTCCTCATTAAATTGGTATTTTTTTCTTGTAAAAAGGCAAGTTTATTCCTCTCATATGCCTTTACTTTATTTTGAAAGAAAGAAAACATCTTTTTATCATGGAAACAAAAAGGCCTTTATTGTTGCATGTTTTGTTTGTTTGTTTTTTAAATCCCGAACACTTCTGGCTATGGATATGTACTGTATGTGGATGCAATTCATGTGATAAATATAGAAATTGTGTGCGTGTATGTGTGTTGTGAGAACACACTTATTGTAAATCCAAGCAGGCAGCACCAAGTCACATTTGGAATCAGGAAGAAAAAAAAAACATTAAAATGTAGTTGTTTTTTTTTTTTGTGTGTGTAGTGATGTAAGATATTTTTGCACAACACTTGCACACCAGCACGAGGGCTCCCCTTGAGCAGCATTGCTAGTCAAACACAAAAAGATTGTTGTCCTGCACAAGTGAAATATATTGAAACTCAAAACTTTTGAAATAAAAAGAATTCAATCATATTTTTGGTGAAAAAAATGTCCAATTTTTCCAAGAGTTTCTGAGTTAAAAAAAAAAAAAGACAACTATTTTCAGTGAATAGTTGTCATTTTCCCGACAGAGAAAGGTTGCAAAATAATGGCAATGTTACAGAGATTTTTGAGGGAAAATAAACATAAGAAGCAGAATAAAGAATAAAGGTCTGTTCAAAAATATGAGGAGAATAATTCTGTTCTAGCAGAACTGTTTCTTTTGCGCAAGTCCTTAATGGTGGTGGTGGTTCTAAAAGCTTTCAAAACACGAACGAAGAGTCATTGAAAAAGTCTCAACTAGTCAGCCATTTTGATTCTAAGCAGCATTTTAGGTTGCTCAACCCATTTTTTTTTTAAATTCAGCCCCCGTAGTTTGATTTAGTAACATGAAATTTGAGGAACAATCATGAGCAGAGCCACAAAAAAAAAAAAAAAAATGTAGTGGGGTCATGACGGCCAAGTCACAGGAAGTTGGCCGTTCTGATAGGAAGGCTGAGGAAGGCTCGGGACGCTTTGGACTTCCCTGCTTGAGCGGATCCAAAAAGGATTTGCAACGCGTTATTTTTACTGCTACCATTAATTCATCACAATGTCTGAGATCAATCTTATCTCTTCGTAGCCTGCAGCGGAATTGTTGTAGGGATCATGTGACGCTGTTCAAACAAGAATATCTGAAGTCCACATAACAACTTTTGCCTGAGGATGAAAGATCAAAGTGTACATGTTGAAAAATGACTCATTTCCATCAGCGCACACGCGAACGCCAGCAAACACCTTTGCCATTTCGCGGCTCGTGTAAACGCAGCGGCGCCCCCTTGTGGCGCAACACAAAATGACCATTTAAAAAGTCAGGCATAATAATAATAATAATAATAAAAATACATCATGGCAATTTTCAGAGAGGAAAAAAAGTCCTATTACCAGGAACGCGGCTTTTAACAAAAACCAAGAAAAAAATGACTGTTTTAGTGACGGGGAAAAAATTCATTTTTTAGAGAAAGCGGTGGTAAGATTACAAGAATAAAGGTAGAGCTGTCACATTCAGAGAATGGTGTCATCTTTTTTCAAAAACAGTCCAATTTATGTGATGTTGAATTTTTTTTTTCAGAGAGGGTTGAAAAAAAAAGGGCTATTTTTCTTGGGGGAAAAAAAATCCCAGAAAGAAACATTGGTCATAATTCAACGGCTTAAATGTTTATGTGAATAAACTGAA